CAAAACAAGAGGTTGAGGCATACCAATGTTTCTGATAAATTGGGCTCTTGCTGTATATCACATTCATGATTGACTTCATCTACGACTTCGTTGATTATTTCCTGTCACTGAACCTTTCCTGGCAATCCATCCTCTTCTTTGTTTTCAGAATGCTCAAGAGAATGCTTGAGGGATAGAGATTCCATATCATTGACAGCTTCTTTACACCACTTTCCAATTTCTGTGTCAACTATTGTGGCAACACTTTGCTGATATTATTAACACTTGATTTCTAGTGAAGAATAAAATAAAATAAGACAATGAAAATAATGAGTTTATTCATAATTGACAAACTTAAAACTTAACAATCTGACAATAAACAATAGATCACTCACAAACTGAGCTTTGCACTGGTCATTCTGTTCCTCATGGATGTGCTTAAGGTAACTCTTTTTCCATTCCTCAAAAAAAAAAAGTATCATTAATATTTTGTGTTAAAATACAAATAATAAATTATGCAGACCAGTCTTAAGCGGCTATGAAATGCAAGTGGAGTGGTTTAGGTTTGAGCAACCTGCAGTCCCCAAACTTCCAAACCCGAGCAACCTGCAGTCCCCAAGTTTGCCACCATACCAGGGTCATACAGGCAACCTACAGTCCCCATATGCTGCAAGGATGCAACCTGCAGCCCTTCCTCGCCTTCAGATACATTCCCTTCTAGAGGTTATCCCTTGCAAGCCAAAGCCTTGTAAGATGAAATTGACTCACCTGCCAATTGTCTCTGATTCCTTTCAAACTGTCTATAATATCCTCGCTGAAGAATTTCAAAGCAATAGCTTGTTCCAAATCCTTGATGATAATGCTGCATATTTGGAAGGGTTTGTGAGTTGGATTTTCCTGTCAATAGTAAGCGAGGAGGTCATCAGCGGTTATAGAGCTGACGTTGAATGTGGCATCTCGTCGAGTTAAGAATCGGAAAAGGCTTGTTTCGAAGAAGGATATTTTGTTCACCATTGGAATCAAAGAGATTAGTAATTAGTAAGTTTCGGTTGCTGGACGAAACACTCCAATATTTCTTACTAGTGTTTAGACCGCGACGTGTGTTCGAGAAAAAAATTTTTTTACGCGTATGTACATATATAGCAAACACAATGACACGTGGCTTAGCGACATGACGTCAAGTGTTCACTTTGTCTGGTTTTGTTGCAGTCTGCCCCATATTAATATGCCTCAGTTTGGGACCTGTCTCAGTTCTGACTGGATTCTGGACTGAGATGACTGAGTTATAGAATGAGATAACTGAGTTCTAGACTGAGATGGTCCCGAACTGAGGTCCAACATAATCAATATTTATTTTCAGATTAGTTTAGTTTACTTGGGTTATCTGGATTTCATATGGGCATACTGCAATAAACCAAATAAAGTGGGCATTTATCATGTGACATAGATGAGAGACTGGTGTGGGTTAAATATAAAGACTAATTGACTAATAACATTTGATTACTCACAGAGCTTATTATTATGCACAAATTTATTTTTGAATTTATATAATAATAATAATAATAATAATAATAATAATAATAATAATAATAATAATAATATGGTCCGGTGCAAAAATATAGATACAGTATCTCAGATTATTGCGAATAAAAAAATTTTTTTCCTAAAATCTGATTTAACCAATAGTTATCGGAAACATTTTGATACAAGTTTTATTCACTGGATTCCATGTTATCTTCAGAAAAGGATTCGTCATCAGTTTCCTCATTAGATAAATAACAGTACATGCTAAAACAACACAGTGATGAAGATGGCAGTATGATTCATCTAAAAACACTTCAGCTCGATTTGGAATATCATTGTTTCCTGTAAATTTGATAAGCGACTACGAATGTATTGGCACGAATGATACGTTGTTTGGGAATTCACGTAAAATATTCCTACGTTCGCCGTGGCCGTAATACTAATGTGTGCAACAAACGAGGAAGTTACGTCTATAATTTCTTGACTAATCTCGGGTTTCACCGCCGACAATAGCCAAATCCCAAGTTGATTACTAATCGCTCTCCCCCAGTAGTCGGCACGACATATTCTTATCTTTGTCTTTTAAGTAACTAACCTGTGTTTTGTGTGTAGGTTTATCGAGCGTATGTGACAAGGGCATAGCATCTTTTCTCTTTCTCGTTCTTGTTCTTTTTCCGTAATTTCTAACCTAAGTTTTAATAATTCATTCTCTATTTTTTTAATACTTTCCAATCCCACCCTCCTTTTTGAATAGATCGACATTTGGAAAGATACGAGTAAGGTCGCGTTGAATGATTCGATCATAAGTACAAAAAACTCATTAGTTACTGATACTCTTTCAACTTTACTTTCTTTTTTGTCTAGCAGGAAATTTCATGCGGTTAAGGGGGTTCACAAGACATTGATTTGCATAATAGTAATGTCTTCAGTATCAGAAAGAGGCATCTTTTCAGCGAGAGATGCATTTTCAGAGAGAGAAGTATTATCTGTGAGAGCTGTCGGTTGTTGTACAGAAACTTGCTGTACAGATTGTGACACTTGTTACAAAGGTTGATGTTGAAAAGTCACTTCGGTACTTAGATTTCTGATTCGCGTCTTTTAGAAGATCTAATTGTAAATGTCGAGCGTTAGCGGATACTATACGACTATAAAAGACCCTCGTGGTCTTTCTTGTTGTTGGCTTTTGTGTTTTTGAACAATGTCACGTAAACGAAGAATTGTCAATACCACAAGAGAGACAAAACCGATGTGGCTGTCCTCACCATTTTCTATCGGTTTTGCGAGGTATCGGTTTTCCAACGCTTTTGCTTCTTATTGGCTAATGCGAAATCTTCGACCTCAGTATACGTAGAATTGATAACGTGAAATATTGGGCTATGGTTGTTGACTTGCGTTTTTCGCTTGCGAGATTGCATTCTTGAAAAATTTATTATAGGAATTGCAAGAATCAGGTCAACGTAATTTGTACTACATTATATCGGTTTATCGAGTTTGCGAGGTCTATATTAATATGTAATATCGGTTTTACGAGGGGTTTATCATACATAAATTGCACGGGTTTGTTTTCGTTTTCGTTCGAATTTTTTTTGATGGTGATCCTACCATTTTGAAAAGAGCAATAATTACTAGCCTCGCTTCATTCACGGAGAGTGATAAACTTTTGTTCTATAATGACCACAATATCATCACGCCGACTCTACAATTGAGGCAGTGTAACTTCCCGTTACACTAGATTTTGGATACTGCGCATTTTTACTTGCGATGATATTATTATTATTATTATCGTAACACTGACATTAAACTTCACTGTATTCAACAATAATTATCAAACAGTATTATTAAATTTTCACCCAATATACTCTCTTGTTTATATTTGGTTATACGAGAATGAAAACAGGGGATCAACGTGTTCACAGAGTACAATATAAACTTGCTAACTGGTATTATAATGGAACTGAAGTAGAAAAAGATGAACAGAAGGCAGTTGAATGGTATGAGAAAGCAGCTAAACGTGGATATGCCAAAGCACAATATAATCTTGCTGTATGTTATGGCAATGGAATTGGAGTGGAAAAAGATGAACAAAAAGCAGTTGAATGGTATAAAAGGGCAGCTGAACAAGGAGATGTCAGTGCTCAAAATAATCTTGCTGTATGTTATGAAGATGGAACTGGAGTAGAAAAAGATGAACAAAAAGCAGTTGAATGGTATAAAAAAGCAGCTGAACAA